ATCCTGAGAGAAAGCAGAGGCTGGGGACCAGGAGTGGGAGCATGTGATTCAAAGTCCCGTGCCAGATTAGGAACAGCAAATGACAGATGGTCGTCCTGACCAATGTAACAAAAGAAAGTCCCGCCTGCCATTTAAATGAATCCATTAATATACATGACACACAGGGACAATATCTACATCTTTGTCCCCCAAGGACCTCACACAAGGTCCTTGCCATCATCCATCCTAGAGGGGACTGGGGTTGACACAGATCGAGTCCAGCTGCCCAAGTGGAGTTCATTCCCTTCCTTCTCTGTTCAAAGGCCAGCCCTTGCTCAATGAGTCCATAATCCCAGGCAGCTGGCGACATCACCCAAACCTCCAGCTGACAGTTCTGCAGACAGTGGCCACATCTGCTTGTCTAAGTGAGGCATTAAGTAAACAAATGAAAGAAAATAGCAGTGCCGTTGAGAAACACTCTTGAAAACTCAGCAAACCGATGAAAACAAAGGGATACCCTTGAAAAGGTGAAGAGTCTGCTTTCCCTGGCTGTCAATGGAGCCGAGGCCCATTGTCTTCTCTGATGTTATTTGAAGCCAACCAGACAGGTTCATAGTGAGGTATCAGTCGTGTCTCCTCTGCTGACAAATATGCAGCCCATCTGCCTCCAATCAATAAGAGAGCACGTGGAGATGGAGCCGGTGAGATATTTTTAAACACTCCCCCTAATTAATTCATTGTAAGGACTTGGCTCTGCAGGGTGAGGGGCGGGCAGCGGGAGGGGAGAGCCATCCCACAGCCCTGGTAAATAAAGAGATTTGCTGTCATCTGGATTCCAAACCCTTTCTCCGAAGCATGCCTCCTGCCCCACAACAAGCTGCTAAGGGCAGGGAAGGGGTGACTGTGGGTAGGCAGACACCGTCTGATGTTTGTGAGATGTATTGTTCAAACCGTGAGGACAAGTTCTTGAAATGCAAACCTAACTAAGACGTTTTATCCTGAGATCTGTGCTTCTGACTACTAATGCTGGAGGATTTTAAGTTATCTATGTTTCATTAGATTAAAATAATGATAGCAGGTGATCAAAGTGAAGACTCCATTCATTCCAAGAGGCAAGGCAATCCAGTGAGGGAAACAATTCACTCTAGAAAACAATTGAGCTTGCCGTTACAGGGAGGAAATTCAGACATCTTTACAGCTGATACAGCCATGGGGAAAGGTGCACAGGGAATTGTCAAGAAATTAACCTGTGTTTGAGCTCCCAACTGTGAAGCAGCCAGGCATATCTGGAACTGATACAGCACACTGACCCAGAGTTGCTGTGTGAATATTGTTTGTTCGTGTGGCCAGGTCCGACACATCACAAAGTGCAGAAGCCCAAGGAGAGGACGCCTCATTGTACGGACAGAAAGGGGAAACAACGTGACCCTTGGGTCTGAGGCTCAGACCTGCCGTTCGGTTTGTAATAAGCTGCCATTTCTACTTTCCAAGTCTCATTTGGATTTAGAAATTATTTCTGGAGAATTAAGCTTTCAACTGCTCACACGAGACTGCCTTGGTAAACGTGGAATGGCTTTATCATAGCTCCACTCATATCCATTTCGCCCAAGGAAGACAATTTCTATATTCTTGAAAACGAGAAATGAATTCCAGTGGAGCCTGAGGCATACAATACGCAAGCCCTTCTAGATCCCATCTCCCCTGCCCTCCACTCACCCCGTAATAAGCCCACTCTACGAGCTCATCCCCCTGCTCCCTTCAATTTCATTTTCAGAGGAGGGGGGCGGGTAAGACACTCACTATGTTTAGCATCGTGCGCTGGGAATCATAAATTCAGGGGTCTCCCTTGGCAGGGCTTTTTTGCTGTCAGCAGTTTTCTGTTTCACTTGCTCTCGAAGTCAGACTGAAATCCAAGCCCTCCTGATTGATGCAACCCTGACCCCTTGGCTCCTGGGAGCTGATCAGAAGATAGATTGCCAGGAGTCTCTGATATATGCGGAGACCTGGCCATCCCTGGCCCTTAGAAACATATTTCTAAAATGGTTGTCTCTTCAGCATCTGGCCACTCCACTTTGACCCAGTCAATAACAGACACTCACTTGCCTGTCACCAGCGACTTATAATCTCTTTCCAATTTGGGTCAGGAACCTAAAAGCCATCTCAGTAATTCCAGCCGTGCCTAGGGCTCAGGAACAACAACAACAAAAGCCACGCAACTGTCAAAGGAACCTTGCTTTCATAGGAAAACCCTTTCAAAACCTGGAAACTAGAAGAGTTCTTGCTGAATTTTACAAAAGCCACACTGATATTCCCAGTGCAACATGATCAGAAACTTCAGATAACCAAACAGTGGTAGGTATGGTCTATAAAAGGGCAAGGATCAAACACATCAGATGTAAAATATTCTAAAAGGCAACTTGCCAGGGATATATACAAAGATTTTAAAGAAAGCCGACAATAAGCACCAGCCATGCCTCACATGCTCATGCCTGACAACTGACATTTCCAGATGATACCCCAAAGCTCTGCCAAATCCCAGAATCTTCCTGGAAAGATGACATGACATTGTACACAGTTTTTTTGAGCCCTGAAGTCTATTTTCATTGGATTACCTACTTCATAGAGCTATTGAAAGATGTGAATATAAAGATATACAAATAAGCTTTGAAACGAGTGCTAAACAGATATATTTATTGCCTCTAATAATTCTATAAAGAGTAGTAATTAGCATATGCTGTTGATGACAACTTGATCACCAAATAAACATTCACCAGATCGATTGGTTTAATATACCATCCCACTCCCCCAGTAATTTGGAATAGAGTTGAGCTGAACATGTATAAACTGAAAGCATGTAATTACAGTGCTAATTTGGCATCCTTCTAAGCAATGTATATTTCAGAAAAACAGCTTTAATATTGTTAGAAGACAAAGGCTAACAAAAGAGATCAGCTTGGGGACTCTTCCTGAATTTCCTTTTCAAGGTGCATTACCCAAAGATATCAGAAGGGGCAAATGGATCTCACCAACCCATGAAAACAACCTGGTAATAAAAGTCCTCCTCTGGGAAAGTCTTCTGAAAGTCATCTCCAAGGCTATTTGTGTCTCTTTATCTCCACCAGAGAAGCTAGCAGGTGCATTCCACCCAACAGAGATTCTGCAAAGGCTTCTGGGAGACAACAAGGGTTTTGAGAATGTCTCCAACTGACCAAATTACTGCTCTTAAATAATGTATTTTTCTACATTTGTTTCCCAGTTTTCAGATTTTTTTTTCAGATTCTTTCATCTCTTAAATACAAGTTCCTTTGACAATCATTTCCTAACCCTGCACAATGCACCAGGATGGCACTAATTGGACTAGAGTTGGTTTTCAGTCTTGCAAATCACATCTGCTTTACTTTAAATGTCAAACCACTTGGCAGCTCTCACTTAGGATGAAGGAAAAGGCAGCACATTTGAGCAGTTTTATTGCTGTCTCTACCTTCTCCCCTCTGGCCAGCAGAGTGGAGAGTAAGTTGGGTGTAGCATTTGGAAGACAGATATTTTTCGAAGAGGTTTTCCAACTGAGACTCTGAAGGCTGAAGTAATTGTAGAAGGCTCCTGTAGGTAGCCAGAAATACCTTTATACTTGTTCTAAGATGAAAGCCTTTTAAATCAAACACAGAGGGATGCTGATGCTAAGCCACATGGGTTCTTAATACTTAACTCTAGAGATGTGTTTGAACACAAGTTACCACCTTCCTTGGATACAAGTACCAATTTGGAGCATCTTTTTTGGGTAAGTAACCATTTCAAAGGTCCACACTGGCAAATAGGGCGATGTGGAGAAACTCTGATGCCAGGCACCTTTGGAAGGACTCTAGGGAAGAGAGAAATAGATGAACGGGTTCTTTCTCATGGATACAGTTTTAGAAGTATTTTCCTTGTCTGGGCTTGGAATCTAGAAGACTGGCTGTGAACACCATCTTTTCACTCCTGCTTAGAGATCCACCACCCACCACCTCACTAAAAGCTTATGGAGTTGGTGATTTCTATCAAAAATGCTCCAGAAAATACCAGAACCAGGGTCTCAGTGTAGAGTCCTGAGAAGCTCCGGATACTTGCTTTGGACATCATGTGTGGATCCAGTGATCTCTTGCAAGCAGCTAGTGCCATTTTGTGAAATAACCTAAAAGTTGGGGTCCCTGACCGTTCTTCTGATTCACTCCTAGGCTCTGGAAAGCCTGAAAAGTTTTTGTTGGAGACAGGACCAGGATGCCTTGGAATGAGTATTCAAGGGACTCTGTTGCTCTTGCATCCCCCATGTCACCTTTGCTAAATACAGTTGTCCTTCTATACTACAGAAGTGATCACCATGCCAACTGCAGCCTCAGGAGGCAAGAGGCGACCCAAAGGCCACAGGCAAAATAAAGAAGCCAGTGATATTCCCAATAGAGTCTGGAAACTCTTGTCCTGTTTCAAGCTACAGGTTTTCTCCCCTCCTCTCGGGAAGCACCCAAATCTCTTCCACCCTTCCTTACTGCTGGCCAGGGAGATTCCAACGTCCAGTCCAAGGGCAAAGATCTTCTGGGTCGGGGCTCACCCCCGCCTCCGCCCCCCACCGGCGCCCAAAGCTAGAGTTCAAAGCCAGGTGCTGCTCCTCGCCCCGCCTGGGCTCTGGTACTGGCTCATTCATTCCAACCGGTCCCCACCTTGCAGCCCAGACAGTGTCTCCTGCACCAAGGACAATCTTTTATTGTCTTTAAATCTCTGAAATAACCTCCAAAGGGTTTATTTTCACACTTTTTCACACCCCCATGGTACTTCGCCATTAGATCCAATTCTCTGCCTCCCGCATCCTCAAAAGACAGCTAATCCACCAAAGAAACCAGTCCCCTTCCCCACCATCTCCAGCCTGGCTGTCGCTCTGCCACGGCTTCAGAGGTCCGGAGACACAGTTCTCTGTCCCCATCTGGGATAGGGCAGCACCACCCCGCGCGCGGCTCCCGCTTCCCAGCAGGTACCCAGAAAAACCCTCTCACCCTTCCGTTGATGCCATGGCGTGGGGAACGCCCCCTCCTCCCGGGCACGGTCTGGCGACGGTGGCGGCGAGCTGGGTGAGCCCCGAGTGCGGCGGGGAGCGGTATTTAACGGGCAGCCTCTCCCCGCCCTCGCACCCCCCTCCTGGGTAAGCCCTTTAGCGCCTAGGCGCGCGCGGGAGGCTGCTGCGGGCGCTAATCCACGTCCCGGCTCTCCACCGCGCGCGGTCCGCGTTCCCGTGCGCGGCTCGCGGCCAGCGCTCCGAGTGGCGCTGCGGGGATCCCACACTGGCTCCTGCGAGGTCGCGCTGGCCGCAGGGCTGCAGGAACGCGCTCCGCGCGTCCCAGCTGCTACCTGTGTGTGTTTCACCGGGGGCAAACCGGTGCGGCGAGTGGCCGGCACCGAGGGGCACCGGGAAAGACCGGGAGTGCGAGTGCGGGGGAGTGTGTGCGTGCGTGCGCGTGTGCTGGTGTGTGCGCGCCGGGGGAGGCGGTGGAGGCCGCTGCGCCCTGGCTCGGCGCCGGCCCGGGAGGGATTGCAAGGTTTAGCCCCGCCGGAGCTGGGGATTTGCAGGCGATCCCTCTCTATTTTTGTCCAGAGCTGACATCACCCGCGTCGCAGCCTGGGGCGACTTCTTTAACCGTCGCCCCTGCCCCCCATCTTCAGACGCTGTCCCTCCTCTGTCGTCCCTCCCCCACTAGCCTCCAGCCATAAATTAGCCAAGAAAAAAAAAAAAAAAAAAAAGCCCTCCGGTAGTCCTGGAACGCTTTGGACAGCCGGTGGCAGGAGCCCAGGATCTAAGGAGTCTCTATTGTTTCCTCTCGAGTCTGAGTGGCCCCGGGTCACCCTTTGCTGGGCCAAGAGCAGAGACCCGGGATGCCCCTCCGTCCCCAATCCTTGGAGAAGCCTTGGCGCTGCCCATCTCTCTCTGGACACCTGCTTCGGCTCACATCGCACAGGCGGGCACACCCACCCTTATCATACCACTTCTGGGGTAGGGAGTACAACAGAATCCTAGCCGCAGAAACCCTCAGGTGGCCGGATGGAAGCGCGACCCAGCTGCAGGTCCTCCTTCACCAAGGCCCAAATAAATCTCGGGCATTCAATTATTCATCTAGATTAATATTAATGCGATTCCCCGGGGACGGGCGGGGTGTGAGGGAGGCCATGATTTCAGGGGGTTTGTTTTTTAATCCGAAAGAGGTCTGCCTGGAGGGCTCGGGCTAGGAAGGAGCAGAGAAACTGTCAGAGCCCAGGGCTGGGGACACATCTCCACCCACCCGGCTCAGTTCTCCACAGGCCTCTAAGTCTAGGGGGCGGCGCGCAAAGACAGATGGGCTCCTGCAAGAGAGAGTCCAAGCCTCCTGCCCAGCTTTGCATAATAATGACAAGTTCCACGCAGCTTTTATTATCTCGGCGACTGGGACACAGCAGACACCTACAGCTCCGCCACCTGCAAAGCCTGGGCTGGACAATGAGACTCAAAACAACCGCTTTTGCAGGGCCGTGATGAGAATTAAACAGACTATTCTGAAAGGTTTGCAAAGTGTAAACAAAGATGTCAAAAGGTGTGAGGCTGTCACTTGGCACCTGTCAGGCTCTTCTGAGCTGCATCTCAGAACCCCAGCATTCTAATTTCTTTTCTAATTCTTCCTGGTCCGCTCCAGCGCTCCTAGCCGGGAGGAGCTCTTCTCTTCCATCTTCGCTTCTCTCCGTCAGCGGCATACTGAAGAAGGTACCACCTTCAAATTCACTGTGGGAAGAAGATAAGTAACTGAATGAAAGACATTCAAAAAAAAATGTTCAGCTAAACCAGGCATGTTGTATGCCTGTAATCTCTGCGCTCAGCAGGCTGAGGTGGGGAGTTCTCAGGTTCGAGACCAATCTGTGCTAGAGAGTAAAACCTTATCTCAGAAACAAACAAACAAACAAAAAAGGTTCAGTTAATTTTAAGGAGTCTTGGAGGATTGTTTCTTGGGCAAAAGATTCAAAGAAGACTAGGCAGATGAGAGAAAAGGAGAAGAAGAACACGGGGCAGGACTAACAGAAGTCAGCTCCCTTCTCTTACCTGCCAGTTACATTGACCAGACCTGTTCGGCCCCAAGAGTCCAAAGACGGCCTCTGGTTTGGATAGATGGCTCTTGCAGCGGGCCCAGATTAGATTCCTAGCACCCAGAGCAGTTCTTAACTGTCTGTAACTTCCCTTCCAGGCAATCTGACACCCTTTTCTGGCCTCCACGGGTTCCCACATGCTACCAGTACACAAGCACATAACACATAAAAATTAAATTTTTTTGATGAATTAGAATTACTTTAACATGTACTTTCTTTAAAGAATAAAATCTTGGATTGTCCCTTCACACACACTTGGGCTTTTGACTTTCATTGAAGAAGAAGAAGAAGAAGAAGAAGAAGAAGAAGAAGAAGAAGAAGAAGAAGAAGAAGAAGAAGAAGAAGAAGAAAAAGGAGAAAACTGGCATCTTGAAACCTGGCAGTGTGTTGGCATTGCCTTCTCAGAAGCCCTGTAGACTGTGACTTTGCATCTGAGGTTGCCATTTACTATTTAGGGATTTTCCTTGCGTTTCTGCTGAGGTGGCAGCTGGAGAACAAAGCCACGAGGATCTCTCCCAGACTGGATATTAAAAACCCCAGAAGCACTCCTCTGTCACCAGCATCCCCTTTAAGCAGAGCCTAAGTGAACTGCTATATAACGGTTATCCCTCAGCATCTACGTAGTCCCAGAGGGCTCAGCAGCACCATTCACCAGCACTCTGCTGTCCACAGGCTCCTGAGGCCCCCAAACACAGAACAAGTTAAAAGATGGGGAAAGGAAAGCAATGAGATTGTTTCTATTAAAAAAAAAACTAATCTCATTGAAAATCATCCTTAATCATGTTTTCCATTGTGAGGACCTTAGAGGACTCAGGTGAATGGGTCACTGGGCATGCAGAATTAGATAGGTATAGCCATTCTGGCTTTCCACGTTCCCTGTAAATGGCTGTATCTGGATGCCCTGACATCACCTCCTGTGCTAGAGAGACATTTGCATTCAGCTGCCTAGGGAATTAGGTCTATTAATCATGTGGACTATGCCACAGATGATTCCGGCTCAGAAGGAATTGGTTCTCAGTCAGTGCCCCAAGAATGCTGTGAACATCCAGTATGATTCCAACACTGGGTGTGAAATAAGATATTTTGATAGAGATTTAATTTGGTTTGGTTTGGTTTAAACTAGTAATATTCAGGCTGCTTTCTTGAGGTTTCAGTTCTGTCAGTCTAGAACTGGTTTGATATTATTTCCCCTACCCCAGGCAAAAGCTGAATATTCACATATACAGAGTAAATCGAGATCTCTGTTTCCCACCTCATCCAAACCCACTCAAAATGGACCAGAGACATTTAGTGCAAAACCTGAATATGTGAAACTGCCGGAGGCAAACACCTCAAGATCTCTGTATATGCATGCACTTCTGAAAAAGACCCCAACATCTCAGGAAGCAGCAAGACCTGGCAGACAGGACTCTTCGAAATCCAAAAGCTTCACAAAGTGAAGTAAAGCCTACAGACTGGAAGAAAGTCTTTGCCAACAACACATCTGGCAGGGGAATATCTAGAATCTATACAGAATTTAAAAATTAAACACCAAAAAGTCATGCTATGGGCAAGTGAATCAGGTAGTTTAATAAGAAACATAGGTAGCCAATAAATATGTGAAAAGATGTTTGACATCTTATCCATTAGGAAAACTCAAAACTACACTGAAACTCTACATCACCACAGTCAGGATGGCTATCATGAAGAAACCAAGTGATAATCAATGCTGCTAGAGATGTTGGAGGAGAGAAACACTTACACACTACTAAAGTGAGTGCAAATTAGTGTAATCACTATAGAGTCCAGTATGGAAGTTCCTCAAAAAAGTAAAAATTTAAAAACCATATGATTCTACTGTATCAATCTTGGATACACACACACACACACACACACACACACACACACATGCTATGGATATCTGTATGCTGTGAATGTGTTGCTCTGATTGATTAATAAATAAAGTGCTGAATGGCCAGTAGCCAGGCAGGAAGTATAAGTGGGACAAAGGGAGAGGAGAATTCTGGGAACAGGAGGACTGAGGAAGAGTGCTGTGGGATGGTCTGTATGTCAAGTGTGTTGCTGATTGGTCAATAAATAAATCACTGATTGGCCAGTGGCCAGGCAGGAAGTATAGGCGGGACAAGGAGGAGAATAAAGCTGGGAAGTGAAAGGCTGAGTCAGAGAGACACTGCCAGCCGCCAGGATGACAAGCAGCATGTGAAGATGCCGGTAAGCCACGAGCCACGTGGCAAGGTATAGATTTATGGAAATGGATTAATTTAAGCTGTAAGAACAGTCAGCAAGAAGCCTGCCACAGCCATACAGTTTGTAACCAATATAAGTCTCTGTGTTTACTTGGTCGGGTCTGAGCGGCTGTGGGACTGGCAGGTGATAGAGATTTGTCCTGACTGTGGGCCAGGCAGGAAAACTCAAGCTACAAATGGCATCCAACGTGGTGGCAAGAGTTTCCACCTAAAAACTGAGAAAAAAGATTCTAAAACGGAGCTAAAAACAGCTTCCTAATTGTCTCTCTCAAATGAGTGGCAGCTGCCGGTTTGAGCTACTGGCAGGCTACTGACGGGTTCCTAGCGTGCACGCTGGACCTACTGTATGGCAGGAATGAGGCCTCTGCAAGCGGCACATTAAGCTGCATGGTGGATTTAGCCTTTGCTAGTACAAAACAAAAAAAGAGGTTTCTGGGTTACACGCTGCTTGGATAAAAGCATAGACCCACGATAGCTCCCAGAGTTGGTGGTAAACTACCACCGCCATGTTGGGAAGCTGAGGTGGGTGGAGCCAGCAGCCACAGCTGCTGCAGTTTAAAGCAATAGATTCACAATAAGACAGATTCAGATGTAATAGTTTACAATGTGTGTAAAATATACGTAGGCTTAAAAGAGACAAAAAAGGTGATATATACGGTTATATAAACAAATACATAGTTTTAAAAAATAAAGTCTTTAAAGAGACAGTAAAATTAATATAAAAAATAAGCCACGTAAAGATGAATATTACACAGAGAATCTGGATTGTGTTGTCTTTGGGATTTTTAACTGCAGAAAAACATTTGATCATAAAAGATGTTGAGTTAAACCAAAATGTATATTTTAAAGGTACCTTGACTTCAAAATTTGGATATAAGGATATGTTGCTTTGGAAAAGAGTCTCTGCTTTTGTTCCCACAGAAAGCCAAAGGCTATGGATTTGTTCCAGATTAAAATACATCAGGTTTGACCAGCCAAGACCCCCTGAAAGGTCTCCTATGATACCATGGCCCAGATGATCCAACATCCAGAATGGTTTGAAGGCAACTGGCTCAGACAACACAGCCTCATGGACTATTCCATAATCCTAAAATTTTCTTTGTGTCCCCATATGATACAGCGCCCCCCTCCAGCAGGAAGTAGTAAAAAAAGCTACGTCCAAATTCCCAAATTATATGTAATTTTACTTTGTTAAGGTTAAAACCTTCCTTTTTGAAAAAAAAGGGGGGGAAGTGCTGTGGGATGGTCTGTATGTCAAGTGTGTTGCTGA